AAAACAGCCCATGCTCCACTGGGGAAAGGAGCTCGGTGCAGTGACCGTCCTGAACCAGGGTATGCCAGGGGAGCATATGTTGTTGCTCTGTGCCCAGCGCATGGCTGCGGGCAGAAGGCAGGACCAGGTCCCACCTTCACCCTTCTTCCTCCAGCCCTGCTGCCCCCCCAGAGCTGGCCTCATTTTGGAGATGGATAGAAACGGGGCAGTGTGTGTCAACCACATCAGCGCTGTCTGGCAGGTACACACGGCTGCATGCACGTTACCTCTTCTTGTTTGCTCCCTGGTGCAGCTCAGGCTGCTGGTTATGATTTATTAATCTCTGCACAGGTTTATATTTGGCTCCAAGAGCGTCTGCAGCCGCGTGCAAAGAGCATTGGGTGCCGGGTGCTGTCAGTCTGCACCAAGTGGGGCTGGGACAGGGCTGGGATGGGACCATGGGGCTCTGCTTACGGGAAACGTGATTGAGATCTTCCCCATCCAGGAGCCTCAGACGATGGGCTGGAGTGAACCTGTTCCCTTCTGCTGTTTGTTCAGGAGAGCTGGGAGGCTTCTGAAGGGAGCCAAGCGCTCAAAGGGCCTTTGACAACATGAATCGAGGTCTCTGAGCAAAGAAACACTGCATTTTTTTCCTTCTGCTCCTTGGACAGCTGCAGCCAGCATCTGGCAGACATTCGTGCAACCTTGATGCACAATGGGGAGAGAAGGGGAGAGAAGGAAGGTTCTTCCCTAACAAGCCTCCCTTAGCCACGGCTATGTTCGCAGCACAAAGCAGACGTCCAGGGGCAGCCGAGGGAGCGACTGCATGAGGAAACGCTTCATAGTTTCCAGCTCTGTTCTAAATTAGGCACTTAACCTTTTCAAACACATCTGATGGTGGTTGCAGTGCAACCCGCTTTGTGCACGGCCCAGGGCCGCGCTGTGAGGAGCACTTGCATGAGGAAATCCAGCAGGCGAGGTTTGCAGGGGAGCGGATCAGAACGCACACGGATATTCCGAGGCCATTTGTTACCCAGAGGCACACTGGTGGGGCCAGGGGCTGTGGGGATGTTGTCCACCCCATCATAACCCGCAGGCAGCTATTATTACCTCCGGCACTGAGGCCCCAAAAGCAGCCCATAATTACAGTGGGACAGCGCAGAGCTTTCCTCAGCTAAATCATCACCCCCAGTGCTCTGCAAAGCAGAGCAGAGGGGTAGGGGACAGGTCAGGCTTTGCTCTCCCTCCCCTTGTGCCATCTCCCAGAAGAGACCTGGGGGTTGCAAAATAGAGCCATTTGCAGCCATCTCCCACCCCAGTTTCATCCGGGAAAGACCCAGGCAGCTCTTGCAGCTGCCTGCACACAGGGAAAGCTTTGCAGCACGTCCCACGGAAGGAGCTGCGCCTGCACCCAACTCAAAGTTTCCAGCAGAGCCCCATGGCCCCACTGCCGTCACACTGTCTCCGAGTGACCGATTCTCATCGCCTCAAATCTCAGTTCAAGAATGTTGTTTGGGTTGCAGAAAGTATGCCTAAAAGAGGAAAGAAAAAAAAAAAAAAGAGAGAAAAGAGAAGGAGGCCAGGGTGAGATGAGAGAGGTTTTGCTTTGTCCTTCCGTGCTGACCGCCGTAATTCTGGAGAGGAGATCACAGCCCCAGCTGCAGCAGCCACCAGATGTTGAGTGCAATCCCTCTGTGCAGCTTGGCCAGGGCTGAGCCCCACGGATCTGCTCCCCCTCCTTCCATGATTTCCCCACATTTCTCCCTTTCCTGGTCTGGTTTAGCTTCTGGCACTGTGGACACCCTTACAAACCAAGAGGAGTCCGCCAGCTGAGGGGGGGTGACAACCACTGGGGGGTGACAACCACTAGGGAAGCTGTATGGCTGCTCCTCTGAGTACAAGAGACGCAAACCCCTTTGTGGGCATCGACTGTGGGCTTAGGAGCCCAGTGAGGGGATGGAGAGGTGAGAAAGAGAAGATTTGGCTGCAAACATCCAGAAAGGCCATGCAAACCTGGAAGCCACCATCCTCCAGGGCACCTGTGCTCTGGTATTTGGAACAGGAGCCTGGTGCAAAGAAGGGGCTCCAGACCATGGCCTCATGATGTTCCCCACTATGGTGGCTCTGCAGATGTTGCCTCATTCATTTCCACCTGGAGCACACTGAGGCTCAAGGCCTCCCTGGGTTCTTCTTGGATTCTTGTGACTGGAGTTCCTCAAAACAGCAGCTGGGACCTTCATCTTCAGGAATTGGCTTTTCATTATAAAGTTCAGGAGGAGCCCCTGGGAGCCCGCAGCTGAAAGCCCCAGGTAAGCAGAACCAGCACCCCTCAACCTGCAGCACCGCAGACTGATGGGCACTGGAAACCAAAGAAAACAGGGAGGGAGAAGACAGAGCAGTGAGCAGCTCCAGCATGGCTGAAACTTCATGGAAATGTGAAAGAGGCAGTAATAGCATCTCCACGAGCAAGAAGGGAAGCCAATCTGAAGTAGCCGTGCTTTATGACAATCGTTTTGGAAGCATGTGGGACATCAGCATCCACTGGGAAGAATGAGCAGGAGCATCAGATTGTTTTGGTTCTTCATTATGCAATGGAGCATTTGCTACCTGTGCCAGAGTGGTGGTCCATGCACAGGACAGTGTTCCAAGCTCCAAGAGCTGTGTTTGTAAATTAAAGGCAAATTTGGGCCAGGTTTGCTGGTTTCAGATAAAGCTCAGGAGCATTTGATCAAAACAACTGGAGCAAACCCAACCAAAACAGACACTGCTCACATCAGTTTGGTTTAGAAAACCAAAGCAAACCAATACAGACATCTGTCTGGCCCTGATGAAATGCAGACTACAACTGCTAAGCGTAACTGCACCGGATGGGATTATGCAGTGATAGGGATCATTGGCTTTGAGCAAGCAGGACAGCATGTTCCCAGCTCCTGGTACCAGTTCAAGTCTTCCTTTCAACAGTAAGCCATTGGGAAGAGGTGTCTATAGATGTCCAAAAAGTTTGATGAAAGTTGAGGACAGCTGCAGAAGCTTTGCACTGGCCTGAGATGAGCAGCAGCATTAAGGTCTCATCAACAGCCGTGTTCATGCCAGCAGAACCAGACAAATCAAGCAGGATCACCCCAGGAGTGGCTCAGGAGACAATGGCCACCTGGAACATGAGATTGCAGGGTAACCAGATAAGATGTACGTGCTTCTTTAGACGGCAGCTTTTCACTTCCCTGAGACATCCCAGAGGACACTGGAGCCGGGCAGGATGATCAGGCAAAAAGCCCTGGTAACTACGGGGAACACTGAAACTGAGCTCCAGCATGTCATTTTGTTCTGGTTTAGGCTGGGAAAGGGAGATGTGAGTGTGGGTACGGAGCCAGCAATGCATGAAGCTCTGTGGGACACCCTGCCCAGGGCTGCACACCCGGAGTCAGGAGTATTTTTGACTTCCAGAAGGTGGAGAGGCCCCCTTCCTTATCTAACCTAGATATGGACGTGGTGCTTTTCCAGAAAAACATCCAAGCCCTTTGCAAGCCTCTGAGCTGCTGGCCAGCAGGACACCTCGAGCTGCCAGAGATGCAATGCTGGTTGACACCATCCAAGCACCAAGCAGCAGATGTTGCTGGCTGCCTTTCCCTGGAATGGGCTCCCGGGGCAGCAGGAGCCCTCTGAGTGGGGTTTCCCCCTGCACCATCCTCAGACTGCCCCCATACACACACCAAAGGTGTGAGCCCTTTCTCAAGCTGCAGTGGCAGTGCCCCACAGGGACAAAGAGGTGCTGTCAGCTCAATTGAAGCTCATGGGGAGGCTCAGAGAGCACCCCTCTACTCCCCCCCCCCAACCTTGATGAGGGCTTCACCTCCTTGGGGCAGCACAGCCCCCCATCCTCTTTCCCCACTTGAAGGCAAGATTTCTCCCCGGAGCAAGCAGCACTCTGCCTGCGGCACCACAGAGAGCTGTGCTTTCCAGGCATGCTCGTCCTTCCCAGCCTCACATCCTGGCACAGTCCCCACTGTACAGTTTGTCCCTCACAACCCTGTCCATGAACCACCCGCACATTCCTCCTCCCTACAGTGAGGAACACAGATTGATAAGGATCTTTGCAAGTCTCCCCAGGGGCGGAGGATGTTTTGGCTGGGAAATATCAATGGGAAGCAAGGAGAAAGCAAGCCCAGAGGGAGCGTGGCACCTGCCAAGCTCTCTGAATAACTGCAGGCTCCTCAGCAGAGACGGGTGTGCTGCTGGAACAGGGCACGGAGCAGCAGGCAATGGGCGGTCAGGGCTCCTCCTTCCTTCTCCCTGCAGGAAGAAATGCTTCAACAGCCATCAGAGAGCCATGGCCAGTGCTGAAGCGTGCAGGGACAGGGACCAGGGATCAGCACCCAGCACACCACAGCTTTGCAGGACACAGTGGGCACTGCGAAGCAGGAGGTGCTGCAAGCTGCCATGTCCACAGTTCTGTCACCCAGAACATGTTCTCCACATCGGGTCCCCTCCCCAGGAGCCTCAGTGGGGACCCCCCAGCCCTGGCTGGAAGGGCACAGGCAGTAGAATGCCAGCTTGGCATCTGTCTCCTTCCAAGGTGAAGAGAAATTCCGAGTGTCACAGTGGCCCTTTGGTAGGCAATTTGTTTACCTTGGATGCTGCAGCCTTATCGTTCATGGAAATGTTTATCCTAAATATTTAATAGCAGGTCTGCATAAACGGAGGTTTCCTGGGGAAGGAGCCCAGGCTGCAGTTGGAGAAGGCACAGCGTCCCTTCCCTCGGTACTGCAAAAGTTGCAGCTACTTTCTCACTTCTCCCCAAAAATCACATCCTCAGCACCTCAAAATCAGGGAGTTTTTCATCTGGCCAGAGGCTTCTTCATCACTTCCTGATGAGAAACACAGGAGACCTAACAACAGCCCTTTTAAAAACAACATCCCCGATTCCACTAACTCGTTAAACAGAGAGAGCCTGAAAAGTGCCAACACTCCTATGAGAAAAGACGGGAGGGAGAGAGAGAGAGGGAGGAAAGAAAAAGCAGGTTATTTATAACGCCAGGCTGCGTTAGGGTCTCTTCAGTCTCTCCTGCAAACTGTCTGCTGCTAGGAGGTCACTCCCAAAAACCTGCACAGCCCGTGACCTGCAAGCACAGTGTTTGATCTGGGATCTAGGGCGGGCACCAGTCCTTGCACACTGAGAGACGCACTCACATGCTGCTTGACACACGGGAGATCCCAGAGCAGCACAGCGAGGCTTTGGAAAGGAGGCTCTCTGCTTGGTAAGTCCATCTCCATATTTATTGATTTATTTTTTTTTTAACGCTCAATTTCCGTAGCCCTGCTGTGCCACGCGGAGCACATGCCAGCGACACGGGTGGCACAGCATGGGTGCCAACGTGCCCTCTCCTGCTCCTGTCCCAAGCAGCAGCTCCCCAAATATTTGCCATGGGATCCACACACCCACAGCACATGCAGCCCCCCCGGCCCCACACAGCTCTGCCAGATCTTCTGCTGCTCGTGTCGTGCCTGTGATGCCACTCGCTCTAAATCCTGCTCCCTCCCTGAGCAACAAGCTGGCCCTGATGGGACACATGGCCCTCTAGCAGAGAATGATGGAGCATGGGAGACTGCATGGATATTGTGCAGATGCCACCCAAAAATGGGGCTAAATACACAGGAGAGGGGAGAGCAGCCTTCAAATGGAGCAGGGGTGGCTGCTGAGGACAGGCGCTGGGGCTGGTGGCACACTGAAGGAGGCTCTGAGAAAGGGGCAGAGAGTCCTGGATCCATTCTGCACCACACAGAAGGACCCCAGGAAGGGGCAGCAGCCCCAGAGCAGAGCAGACTGCTCTGTTTTACCAGGCAGAGTGCCCTGGAGCAGGAGGGAGAAGGAGGGGGAGAAACTCTCCTGCAACTGCCAAGATCCTGCCACACATGCAGCCGCCAGGAGGGCCATGGCTCCTCTGCCCCTCTGAGCAAGAGAAAACAAGAGCCATGCCTGCCTCATTTGGTCTCAATCCCTGCTTTCTTCCAGAAGGAGCAACTTGCTAGGGTCGCTCAGGGGCAGCCTGGGCAGAGCTGTGCCCTCTTTGTCTGATGGGTGAGCGGTTCTCTCCCTGCTGCTGTGCCAGGGCAGGGGGACCAGCATCCTGATGGCTCTTTGGGAGCGCAGTTTGGATGGGAAAGAGGGAGTGTATCCCCAAGGATGTAATTTGGGAATGACTAGTGGGCACAGCCAGCTCAGCCAGCTCCACCATCACAGCTCTGCAGGGCTAGGTGACAGCCCCCAGCATTGCAGGGGTCGGGTGGAGGAGAAAACCACAAAACCTGCTGTTTTCACCATTTTCCTAGCTGGGTCAGGGTGAGGATGCAGCATGGTTTCCCCATGCACAGCAGCACAGCCACGTGTACAGGAGCCCGCGCTCCCCCTGCAAGCAGCACGGCTCAGAGTATTTCCTGGAGGCATTTCAAGCCACCTCGCTCTGCGTGCTGGCATAGCCATGAGGCTCAGGGGAGGACGAGAAGCCATAACTGGTGTTCTCCCTCTGCCAGTGCAGTGCCCTGAGACAGTGCAGCAAAGCCCACACCAAGCCAAAGGGCACCAGAGCCATTGCGCAGTGCTGAGCCCTGCTCCCAGCTGGCCTTCAGCCCAACACAGACTGCTTCCCATAAACAAGGTCCCAATGGCAACTCTGGGGATGTCCCCACTCTCCTGTGTCACGCTGGCCTTGATGGGACAGCAGGTGGACAGTCTCAGGACAGCTGTCCTGATTCTCATCAGGACAAGAGATGGGGGAAAACAGCTCTAAAATGGCTTCAGTTCAAAATAAGGCAGAACTTGTTTACCAGGATTTACATCAGTCCCAAGCAGTGTGAGCATCCAGCATGTTTGTGGGGGAGGGGACAGCTGGATTAAACCCACAGCAACTCGCGTCGCCAGCAAGCACAGTATAAATATAGCTGCATTGAAACATGCCTTGAGCTCCAGCAACCTGTTCCGCAGCTCCCGCTGCTTGGAGGGCGGCTGAGACCCTTCTCCTCCCTCCTGCATAGACCAGCAGAGGCGAATCGGGATGCTGCAGGCACAGCTGTGGCCTTGCACCAACTCTGCCAATGGGCCCCCATTGGCACCCTCTCCCCAGAAACAACAGCGGTCAAAGAGCTGGCAAGAAAATGGGCACTAGAATGTTTCTGGAAAGCGTGAGATGAAAGAGGGGGAGATCAGGTAGCTTCAGAAAAGGGAAATGCTGGCAGGCACATTTGTTTTAATAGGATTCCTTCAGGTCATCTCAGTTCATCGGCTCTGCTGCCAAGCGCCATCAGCCCCACATCCCAACCTATTCCACCCAAGCCCACTCAGCCCAGCCCGCAGGGAGCAGCTCGCCTGCCTGCGGCCCCTACGCTGGGCCTGACTTTGCTGCTGCTTCCCCCCAGGTCCCTTCAGCGCCAGCGCCATGCATTGGGCCACCATCCTGCTCGTCGCCGGGCTCTGCGGAGCCTCCCTGGGCCAATACAATGAGGAGGAGGACTTGGCGTGGCTGCAGTACTACATGCGGCAGTCCCGGATGTCCTCCTACAACTACATGCCCTACTACGAGGACGAGAACAGCCCCTACGTTTACTCTTACCTCCCAGCCCCGGACACTGAGGCAGAGCCCGTCCCTGAAGCTCAGCAGGCCTCATCCTGGCAATGTCCCCAGGAGTGTGACTGTCCCCCCAACTTCTCATCGGCCATGTACTGCGACACGCGCAACCTGAGGTATCTGCCCTTCGTTCCCACCCGGATGAAGTACGTCTACTTCCAGAACAACCAAATCACCGCCATCCAGGAGGGAGCTTTCGACAACGCCACCGAGCTGGAGTGGCTGGCGCTGCACAACAACCAGATCAGCAGTGAGAAGATGGGCAAGAGGGTCTTTGCCAAGCTGAAAAACCTGGAGCGACTGTACATGAACAACAACAACCTGACCAAGATGCCCAGCCCCCTGCCCCGGTCCCTGAGGGAGCTCCACTTGTCTTACAATCAGATCTCCAAGGTCCCCTCCAATGCTCTGGAGGGTCTGGAGAACCTCACTGCCCTGTACCTCAGCCACAACTATATTTTTGAGATGGGAGCATCCCTCAAAGGGCTCAAGTCCTTGATCCTCGCTGATCTGAGCTATAACCACCTCAGGAAAGTCCCTGATGGGCTCCCAATGGCTCTGGAACAGCTCTACCTAGAGTACAACTACATCAACACAATCCCTGATGACTATTTCAAGGTGTCTCCCAAGCTGCTCTATGTAAGGATGTCCCACAACAGCCTGACAAACCAAGGGCTCTCTACCAACACTTTCAACAGCAGCAGCATCCTCGAGCTGGACCTCTCCTACAACCGGCTCCAGAAGATCCCCCGGGTCAGCACCAACCTGGAGAACCTCTACCTTCAAGGGAACCAAATCAATGGTGAGCATGTCAGCCACGCGCAGTGGGGATGGGGAGGTGGGGAGGTGGGAACCGTGCTGCCCAGCATGAGGCTGTCCAGGGAACGGTTTGAGCAGGACACTGGAATTCGGCAGATCTCTGACCTCCTCGGTGCAAGGCTGCAAGGCAGGAAAGGGGCTTGATCTATTGCGAGCTCTGAGATCTCCTGCGTGATGCACAGAGACATTTCTTTGGTTTTATTGAGCATCTTCTGGCTGGACATGCCAGAACTGTGGGTAGAGGCTGTTGCACAATCTGGGGAGGGGCCTCCAAGGATGAAGGGTCACCAAGAGAGCTGGGAGAGTCACTGAACATGGGAATGGGCATCACCCCTGGCAGGGCTAGCGTGCGGCTGCAGGCAAACCCCACAATGCTCAGTGGTCTGCAGCACTGGGGCCGGCGCATCCCCCTGCAGCCCCTCTGCCCTCATCGGCAGGATGCCCTGAGCTCTCCAGCTGCAGCTCTCCCAGTCTGCCACCTCCAGTTTATTCTCAAGCCTTCAGTAATCCACAGGAGATGTAGCTCTGGTCCTTTCCCATGTGCCAGAAGCGACTCTGATGAGCCCCACCCCTCCCCCAACCCCTGGAAACACCCAGACCTCCCCAAGAGCCACTGCCTGCAGCTGATGGGTACGTCCTTGCCAGGGCTGTGACAGGCAACAGCTTTTAGTTTTTAGAGCATCTTCTGCCAGGACTAACATTCACTCTATTTAATACACACGCACATGTACACAAAAATAAAAGGAACGGTTGCTCTTTGCAAAATAATAATAATTAGGACAACAAGCAAACTGCATCTCCTGGAAAAATCCCCGCTTGCTTCTCTCACCTGGCAGGGCTGAGGGCAGAACCCTTCAGGAGCAGTGCTGCTGCACCGGTGTAGCCATCAGTTGTTGCAGGGGAAACAACCCCACACTGAGGAACTGACAGAACACGAAAACAAGAACAGATTCCCAAATGTTTGCTTTCAACATTTGTAGCTGTTAATGTCTGCCCACAAACGCCATGAAACTGCTGCGGAGCTTTCCACGCTTGTCCGAAGCTCTGCTCCAGCTGCAGATTTGCTGCAGACCTCTGGAGCCCCGTGTGCCCTTCGGTGGAGAGTGGGGCACCCGCATCACATCTGGGTGCTGTGCAGCCCCCGGGAGACGCTGCTGCCCTCCATGTGCCCCCTCCTGCCACCAAGCCCCCGTCCCCCCGGCTCTCCTCCCGGGCTGTTTCAGACAGTGCGGAGCTGCACAGCCCCTGAGGCGCACAGGCTGAGCGCGGACGGAGAGTTTGTGCCGAGGGCTGCGCACCACAGCGTGCCCCAGAGCCTTTCCCACAAGCTCTCGGCCTGGAGCTTTGCTGCCCCCTAGGCGGCCGTTTCTCTCCTAAGTCCCGCACAAAAGCGAAATTTGTTCCGTATCTCCCCTGCAGACCCAGGGAGGGATGGGCCTGGGAGCCGCAGACAGCAGTGGGTGGCAGAGAGGAGAGGGAACGTGGATGGGACGGGGACCTCCCCCCACAGACACAGTGCCTGGGTGGTCCCGCTCCCCGTCGGTGCCAGAGGGTCTGGATGCTGCAGCATGGGAAGACTCATGAACTGCAGTGACCGTTCCCTCTGAAAACTGACAGTTTTTTGTCTGACACCACCCAGCTCTGTTCTTTTATCCTACCAGGACTCCAGCTGTGCTGGGCAAAGTCACAGCTCCCAAAGCCCTGAGCACGCACAGCCTCAGCGCTGCTTTGGGCTCCAGCTGGAAGCACCAACTGCTCTACTGCTTTAGGATGGAAAGGTGTGGAGTCCAATTTGGCTGTAAATTGCTAATTCAGGGTTGCGATCATTGTTCTACTGCCCGACCTGCGTTGGCTGGGCACCCTCTGACCCACTGCAGAACGGGGCCCTGACAGCTCTCCTTCCCCCACAGAATTCTCCATCAGCAGTTTCTGCACTGTCGTGGATGTGATGAACTACTCCCGGCTCCAGGTGCTGCGGTTGGATGGGAATGAGATCAAGCGCAACGCGATGCCCCCCGACGCCCCGCTGTGCCTGCGGCGTGCCACCGTCATCGAGATCTAGCCTGCTGCCAGCCCTGCTCCTCAGGACTCTGCTCCCTTCTTCCCGGGGAGACACTCACTCCTATTTTAATGCAGCTTGACAGTTTGACTTGGCTTCTGCAATAGTGCAATAAGGGTGCTCCAATGCCAGCCCACGCAGGGGGGCAGGATCTGCTCATCCCCAAATCCCCCCCTTCCCCCGTCTCTCCAGCCTCACAGATCCCATGTAGCCATGCCCTGGTCCGTGCAGGAGGCAGTGGGGAAGAAGGAGAGCTCATCCCATCTCTGAAATGTGGTGCTAAGCATTCGGCTCTGGATGTGGGTCTTGCAGAACCACCCCGGTGGCTTCCCCTGGGCAAGGGTTTGGTGATCGCTTGGAGCTCAATAGGTGAAGGGTTACAGATTTCCCAACCAGCAGCATCCCTCTCTCTAGGATGGGAATAAGCAAATCTCTATCCTTATTTTACCACCTTTCCCTGAAGCTTCCTGCTGCAAACATCAAGCCAAGAGGAAAGAAATCTTTCCTGCTGCTGCCCAGCAGCCTTCAGCTGATAAGGTCAGAGAGAAACTCCTTGAGGAGCAGCCATGGCCAGAGGGACCCTCACACCTCCCCAGGTTTTGGGACAGGCCAAGAGACAGGCACATTGCAGTGCCGTCACCCCATAGAGCTCCAGGTCCATGCCAGGAGCAGCCCTGTGTCCCTGCTACCCCTGCCCAGGCACCAGGTGCTGCCATGAGAGCAACTGGGCCACATTCTGGGTCTGCACACAGCCGTGTCCTCCCACTCTGCCGACCGACCCCATTGCTGCGTGCCACTCAGCTGCAGCTGCCCCAGCCTAGGGAGAGCAGCCCAACAGCAGGTGAGGTTTCGAACCAGGTGGGACCCACCTGGCTTTAACAGGGGAGGGTTTCACTGCTCCCAAAGTTCTGGTGCCTAACTCCTGTACTCACCCACACTGCAGGATCTGCCCTACTCCTCCCACCCCTCCACCTGCTGGCACAGCTCAGGGCTTCCCACCTAGGGAACTAGGCTTTCCCACTAGGAATAAATGATGCAGCAGTAATGTCTGCATGGGCAGCACATCTCAATTTATCAAGAGCCGAAGCACCAACTTGGTTCCTTGGACAGGCTTACTGAGAACCAAAGGGGCAGCTGAGCTTTGAAGATGACCTGCAAAGCTGAAGAGGTCATCCAGACCCTCCGCATTTAAACTGCATGCTAACATTATAGAAACAAAAAAACAAAAAAACCTGCACTATCACCGGCGCATGAACTGTAGATGTCATACCGACGAATAAAGCCCTTTCTGTAACTGCACAAAACGTGTCTGAGGAATCCCAGCACCGCGTGGAGCCGCTCGCAGCTCAGAACCTACGATAACACTGCGCTGTGCATCGGCCGTCTGGTGGCTGCTGCAGGCACTGCGCTGCACTGCGGGGTTCGCAGAATGGTAGAAGTGTTGAGTTGGAAGGGATCCCTTAAGGCCATCCGGTCCCACGGCCTGCAGTGCACAGGGACACCCACAGCTCCATCAGTGCTCACAGCCCCATCCCTGCTCTTGGGGGTCTCTGGGGACGGGACATCACCATGGGCAGCCCGTGCAGCGCCTCACCGCCCTGACTGCAGAAGACTTTGCTCTTATATCCAACCTAAACCTCCCCTCTTTCAGTTTGAAACCATTTCCCCTCGTCCTATCACACAGACCCTGCTATAGAGTCTGACCCCTCTTTCTTACAGCCCCTTTAGAAACTGAAGAGCAGTGTGAAGAGCAGAAGTGATCCCTAGGATCACTTCTGTGGCCCTCCTCTGATGTGCTCCAACAGCTCCACGTCCCTCCTGCGCTGAGAAAACCCCCTCTGGACGCAGCGCTCCAGGTGAGGACTCAGCACAGAGCAGAGGGGCAGATCCCCTCCCTGGCCCTGTTGGCAGCACTGCTTTGGATGCACCCAGGATACGGTTGGCTTTCTGTGCTGCGGCCGTCGGGTAGCGGGGGAGGCGCTCCGGCCCCACTCCGCTTAGCCCGGCTCCATTCCCTCCGCACGCCATCGCTGCCCCCCGCAGTCACAGCCCCTGCAGGGACAAACGGGCAGACGGGACCGCGCAGAGCCCACGCACGGCTGGTACCGAGCTGCCCCGAGGGGTCGCTCCGTCCTCCCCGGCGGGGCGGCCGCAGTAGCGGCTCGATAGCAGCGGGGAGGGGGGGACGAAGAGCAGAGGGGCTGCGCGCTCCCCTTTCTCCGCACTCCCCAACTTCTCCCCCCTCCCCCCAAAAAGTGGGAGATCCCATTGGTCCTGCGAGCCCGGTGGCGCCCAATCAGCGCCGTGTTGCTGTGTAGGGGACGGCAGGATGGGGGCTCGCGTCCCCTTCCTCTTCCTCCTCCTCCTCCTCCTGCTGCTGGGAGGAGCGGTGGCCGGGGCCGCAGCGACGTTCTCCCGGGGAGGAGGGGCGCGGGGTTTTGTCCGGACTCGCCGAGAAGCATAAAGGAGGGGAAAACTCCAAAGCAACTGAAAGCAACTCCGCTGTCCCCTCCCCCCCGAGGTGTCCCCGTGGCTTTGTGGGGCACCGCACGCCACACAGCAGCTCCCACAAGGACGGGCAGGGCTTCTCCACAGCCCCCCCAAACCCCCTCACATTTCAGCTCCCAAAGTCCCCAATTCTTTTTCAACATCTTTTCCCACATTTTCTTC